AAATAGAAACCAAGAGACGAGACGCGCGACCAGACGACCGGCGCTCGTTTATTAATGAAGAAGCACGCGCGCCCACGGGATGATGAGAGAAAAAATATCATTATGTGTGTATATTTAAGATGTGGGGAAAACGCGCGGCGAGACAGCACAGCCAACAAAGACGTCTATTATCGATCCCCTGACGTCGCGTATAAATTAATCAAATCTTCGAAAACAAAAGGCGAACATTCCAGAGATCAATTGGAATTTACTACTAGGTTTTTATCTTAGAGTTAGAGTTATCGAACTTTCTATGTACTCGTAGGCAATGTTTTTTGTTTGCATAGGCAACCAGTTATTCATTTTACATTCCTAGAATGAAAAACAACAAAAAATTCTGTTTTTCTTTGATAGAAATTAAATATTAAGTTGTTAAGAGAGAGTTTTTGCCACGAGATTTATCAAGCCCGTGGCTAAAACCCGTGACTAAAGTACTTTAGTCACGACCGTGTATAAAGTACACTTTTTATGCCTCAAAACCGTGGAAAAGTCGCGCATTTAAGGAAAAAGTAAAAAAAATCATTTTCTAACAATAAAAAACATAATTTTGAAGTTATAATACTGTATCTTTTAACACGCAGGCATAAATCACGTGCCCAACAATTAATTTCGCAACAAGTGCTTAAACAATGCGTTAACGGTTAACAAGACAGTTTATTGTTTCATATAATTCGCAGCTGATGAAAAACAAGCAGGTCCCTTGCGGACAACATTCTTGTCTTGCCGTACACGCAGTAAACTAGGCGAACAAAACTTTGATGCAACTTTATTGGAAAGGCATAACAAGTTCCTAAGACGCGCTGTGTTTGTACCTAAGTAAGTTACGAGCTTCCCGCGCGCGCAGTCTGCATTATAAGCCGCGCAGATTTGTCCTAGTTAAAGCTTCTTTAATTGTTTAATTTATTACCGCCGCGGTTATGTAACGACCGCACTAATGTCTTATTGATATTCTGCGCTGGCAAGACGAAAACTTTTCCGACCGACGTTGACGGCAATAACTTACAAATGATAAAATCCGTCTGTGTTTTAACGCACGTTCAATTAAACGCCGCTAAACTCTGCACGAGCACTAAATGTCTAATAAATCTCTGAAAATCAATGAAAACAGTCATCATAATTAACTAGAAGGATTTAGAGCTACCGAGAATAATCTTAATCGCTATTTTAAGCTATTATAACCACACTTTTGTCAGGGATTTCATTTTGACAGTTTGGAGGGAAATCAGTCTCAAATGCAAACAATAAATTGTGATTTATGCAATTTCTATAACTGCTAGAAAGGTCCCCTTCGGTTATAAATATAATACACATGGGGAGAGAAACTAATTTCTAATATCGGCGGAAAAGTTTCGCAGATGCCAAACATTTCCGACGCCAAACCCAAATATTATTACACGCATTCATCATTATGCAATCGTGGCAATCCCATTATGCTTGTACGCAACGCCGAGGTCTCCGGAGGTCGTCAAGGGCGGATTCCTCGATTCCAGCTGACTGGTGCGGGCCCGTCCGACCATATAAAATATTCAATCTGCTCGGGTGGTGCCGGGCACAGAATATTACGAGCCCATAACCTGCCGCGCGTATGGGATATGTCGATATCGGCCCGACTGGAAAGCAAGTCAGAAGCGCGCGTCGAAGAGGTAAGAAGCCAAAGTGCATCGCAAGCATGCGGCGCGCAGATAGGCATCGGCGGGTGCTTGATGTTGCAGAATGTACACGAGTGGATGAAGGATGAATAAAACACCCAAACGCGGCGCACACAAAATGAAAGTAACGGGGCACGACGTAAACCGAAACTGATTTGTGTACTATAGGCAACCTAACCTTCAGCAAAAGCAGATCTAACCACACTCGACTTTCTAAACCATGTTTTTATAGCTTTTAAGATAGTGGCGCACACAAAAGGACATAAAATGTTCCCGTGCGAGTATCGCCGCGGTAAGTTCAAGTTGTATTCAAATTCGAGGCGTTTAATATCGTTTTTAAAGCGTTTTTAAGCGATCCAGACGAACGACGCTGGAGGAAAGACGCACGGAATGCAGACGGCGACTTCAGACCGCGGCCGCCGCGAGGTCGAGCCAAGATGCTTGTCGGGTGGCGCGGCCGAAAAGAATATACCACCCGATAAACTATTCATGAGTGCGTGTAACAACATTGACGCCGGATCGCCATCAACTGCCCCACAATGCCTGCAGGTTATGTTGCATACGCCATGATGATACAGCAAAAAAATTTAAAAAAAGCGAAAAACTAAAATTAAACATGTCGGCTTTGACATTTAATAAGAAATAAATACGAATACTTGTTTTCCATAAGCGGATATATCGCTCAGAAGTAATTATAATTAATTCATTACATGATATATCGAAGATTGAGAATGGAATGAATTCGAGATGAAAAATGCTACGTACTTATCGAATGAAATTAATAAAACAATTTGGTATTTCATCCGGAAAGAATGCCGACACGCATCGAATGCCACGCAGTGAAATTAAGAAGCGTTAGGACGCGCGACGTTTCCTGATTAAAAGATGCTTCACTCTCGAGGAGAAGAAGATAAGCCCAGCCTGCACTTATTAATATTTATAGTGAATTATTATTTATTACTAATTAGAACAACTTGTTTATTACTTGTATCGCAATATTGAGAGCCGGTTTCGAGGAGCAAAATACTTACGACATTCAAAATTGATTTTCTGTATTAAATTTACAGAAAATTACACAATTTTCAACGCAGAAAGATGCACAATTAATTTATCTATCAAATAATATATTTTGTAAAATTTTACGTTTAATATTTTCAGAGATATTTTAAATTTTCCAAAAAAACATTATTTTTGTGTCTTTTTTGCGTTAAAATTAAATTTCTAAATAATTTTATTCGATCAATGTGTTGTATAGAAGCCGAGCAGATGCTAAAGAAGAAGATTTAGTTGTAAGTCGAGTTGGCTTCGAATGCGGCGAGTTAAATTGCGGAGAAAATGTTATTTGAGTGAAATTTCAACGAGTTAGGGGGTAAAGTAAACGTAGAGCAACGCCGAGTGTCGCCGGGGATTTCGAATGCAGGAATGCAAACATTGTGGGATGACTATGGATGCGGGGCGCACGCATTATAATTGCAAATGATCAAACTCGAGAGCAGACTTAAACGTTTGTTGCGTTCGGCGGTGCGGGGCAAGCTGTTCGAAGGAAGTCATGGGGTTAAGTTACGAGTAACTTAAATCTGTTCCGATTTTCCCGAGAAAAAAGTAATTTTAAGCATTTTTTCCTTGTATTCATTGAATAGTAACGTGAAAATGAATAATATGGCTTCCAGGGAGTTTTCGCTGGAATTCTAAGCTTTGTAACTACATACCGCATGTATAAAAGCGAGTGCAACATCCGAAAGTCAAAAACGACACGCAAAGAGGGAATTTATAGCGGCAAAGCCGGTGTCGCAGCGTCCGGCCGCTTTCATTGAAATATCGCCGACTATAATTCACGCATTAATTAATATCATACGGGGGCTTCTCCTTCTTCGCTTCCGATACCGCTGCACGATTTAATCTTACCACTCTTGACCCCCAGAGTGGACAAAAGCAAAATGGTGTTTTATGTGAAATTTTGATTCGCCGCGAATCACTAATGCATAAGTCATGAAAAATAAAATAGAAAATGCGCGCTCGTAAAAATATGACTTATTAATGCCGCAGCCCACAACTCCAGAGCGCGCGACGACATAAACGCACACGAGCATTTATTGTTTATTAAAGGATTTAAAGATAGCGATAGTATATGCGCGATGGTAAATTATGACCACTGACAAGATATTTACACGCCCGGATCGCAAGTGCGACGAGTGTCAGAACGAGCGTGACCATTCAGCGTAAAACGGACAATGTTTGCAATTCTTAAGAATCGAGTGTTTGCATATGCAAGCGAATCACGTTCAATCATCAGCAACTATGTATGCCGTATTATAGGCATACAAATATTGCGAATGCGATGTTAAACTACAACGCAGGTACAAATTTCAACTTCGGGCAGGAAAGAAAAAAGTTGATTAAATAACGTCGATGTTTTTAGATGATTGTGCATAAATTGTAGGTTTTTTCAATGTTGATTTAATGAAATATTTTCTCAGTAAATAAAAATCAGCGATGACATTACCGTAATTTAAATTTTAGAAGAAAAAAACTATTTACGTCAATACTGCGTGGCGGTCTTTACGTATCTCCCAAAATATTGCACAAAAATAAAGTGTAGCTCCTTCACATTATCGCGAAATTCAAAATAATAACAAATATTGAAATTTTACGAGTAGTGACATCTATCGAATCTTTTGTAAGCTGCTATAAACTCAATTATTCTTGTAAAAATGCCGGTAAATATTTCCTGAAGTCTAAATAAGAATTCCGCGTCGCTCAGTTGTATTCCCTTGTGTTATGTTTAAATAATTTTGTAGTAATGCAACGTGCACCCCAACAAATTAGCTGAAAAATCGTGCTTAAGTTATAGAAATTTGCATTGCAATTTGTAGGGATGTTGAGATCATAATTACAACAATATTTCAAATATTACCACCGATGTCATATCTTTAAAAAATATTCTAACTCATAATTGCTTGAAATATAAATATTTTTCGTCATTACACAGAGGAAATTAATATAAACCAACCAAATTGTAAAAATTTCGCTGTTACACGAAGTTAAGTCGTTAAATCTAGGCAACCCTGCACACAAAATAAACCGTCAAATATTTTGCGCGTTTAAGAAAACCAAAAGTACACTTTAATCTAACACAACACCAGTTATCAAAAATCAGATATCCTTCAAATATTCCATGTAAACAATCAACAGAAAGAAACAAACACCAGCGCACGGCGTCACAAATTCCACACAAACACGATAAGACATCCACTCAAGTTTCGAGTGCATCAAATACACGAGAAAAAACAAAATATGCAAGTGTTTGCCTACCTTGACTATTGTAGGTTTTCCGGGATATACGCACACAAAATTGTCTTTCCAATTCACTCTCACGATGATTGTCTTTTTAAGAAGAAGTAGTATTGTGGGTGAAATAGACTAGCCGGCGAGATAAAACTCAGGCAGCGTGGACTAGAATCGAGTCGAGCGGGCGCGCACGCGGTTGTTCGCGGAGTGTGCACGAAGAGACACGGACGCCCGGCCGCGTTGACTGGCGCGCACGAACTGACTCGACGAGAGCGCGCGCCGCGCGGAGTTTACCCAACTCGAGACGAAAACCGGGCATGGGCAGGGGGATTATTGTTCGCAGAGACGAACACACGCCAAACACCCTAAAAATGCATCGGACAATGCATACTACACACAAAAGTTTCGACGTGGTGAATTTTATGTTTTTTAGATGTAAAAACAATAAAATATCGAGTTGCAATGTTGAAATTTCAGGAATTTGCTATAAAATTACGTAAAATTAAGTTTTGATCTGTTTTCCACAATTATTTTGCCTAAATTTCTTCTAGACGAAGTATTTTTCCCTAAATATTAACCAACTTCACTTTCTTAGTCTCAAAATTTAATTACAGATTTCTATAAATAGCAGAAACACGTGGGTAGTAAATAAATTTGACTAAAACTTAACAAAGCCTAGACGAAGCACATTAAAAGTGCCATGCATCCCGTTTGGAGCACGATCGCTGCCCGGATGAAGGCGATTTCGAGAACTAGATTAACCAAAACGACGAATAAATCTTTGCTGCGTTTACGACACAGCGCGCGCGCGCGACACATCAAGATTAAGACAATTACGCGCTGAAACTATGATACACAACAATTCCTGCATGTGCCATCGGGGCACTTGTGTACTTTGCACTAAATCTTGCACCTCCCACGCGAAAACGCATTATTTTATTAAATGCGTATTAATAATATCAGCGCCTTCAGTAAAAACGTCACCTACGACGACGATGATGAAGTGGAACACATCAGGCCCGCCACGCATTGGACTTGAAAGACGATTTCATATTGAAATTTATTGCCATTCGCAGAAGCCGTGCCATTAAAACGCAATCTATCAATTATTTCGACTTACAACTAGCGACCAAACAGCAGCAGCGGAATGCATCTCATCTGTTGCCGGAGTTTCTAACTCTCCGATTACGGATGTGAAACTCCGCGCTGAAATAAGGAAGGTTCGAAAATATGATGGATGAGTGCGTGCGCTAGGTCAGGTCATACGAGAACGAATTAATTACAATAAATCAAAACCGCAGCTTGAATTGGATGTTCATTTATTCACTGCTGATATTTTTATATAGTTGTTTCCTGTGTCCTTTAAAAAGAAATTAGAAAATTCGTCACGCATAGTTCACACATGAAAAGCAAAACTTTCATTTTCACATCGTGTTCGCACGCTATTTCATTCACCCATTCATTCATTTAGAAAACTGGACACACTGAGAGATCGGAATGCGATACCTGCTTGAATAAAGGAACAAAAAAAAGCACACTGCAGTTTTACCTGGAGATCTCCCAAGTCGATGCTTACCGAGAACGATGCATCAATATTGATGAATGCAATTCGTCAACAATAATTACGCCCTCATTAAATTAGACATCAGCATCTCGGCGGAGAAGCGGAGACACAAAGATATACTTTACCGATTTCCCAACGCCGTTCGCATCTTGCATCTTCCCAGAATCTCGCATTACTAATCGTCCATTGTTTGTTGCAACAATTCGACAAGTAGCCATGGGACGATCTGCGCGCGCCGTGATCCGTGTTTCAACCTGAACCGAAAACAACAAATTAATTACATACACCACAGCGCTTACAACACAGCTAACAAACACTTAATTAGTGTTGATCAAATTAAAAATCAATCGTCGTTTCTAATATTTGTGTAACATTAAGAGCCTAGCTCGTAAAAGAATTCGGTTGTCCAAAGAATCAAATTGTTTCCGTTTCGATTTAATTAGCGTATAGAACTTTGTAATTGTGCAATTAAAAAATTATTTTTAAGGCACGCAGATTTCGCTTTGTAATTGTGACTGGAAATTCAGACTGCGTCCTGGTTGAAACGCTAATTATGTTGCTTATACAATCGAATGTTTATGTCTATGGAAAATATATCTTCATGTTGCCTCAAAACAACGTTTGTTTCATTTATTGTACATGAACATGCAATTGACACATTGTGTTTTTGTACATCGTTCATTTCATTTCCACTTATATAAGTCTATGGAGAAATATAGTAACAATAAAAAGTTATTAAAATTAAGATTTAAATTGGAGGCGATACTTTACCTATGGTTTCGCACACGTGATTGTGAGACTGAGACTTAAATTGGGAGCGTATGCATTTTGCACGAATTACTTGTAGCAAATTGCGTTGTTTGCAACGCACAATAAATCGCATAAATGGACGATTGCGGTTGTTTTGTCAGCGCTTCGGGGGGCTAAACATCTCAATGCGGTTGCAAAATGCACGGCAGCGTGAAATATCACATGACTTTTAATTATTAACATAACAGTCGTGTGCGTATTTCATGATTTTTGGGCATAATTAATGTGCGTTTATACACACAAAACGCAATGTTACGAAAATGGCGTTGCTTTGTTTTTGTATCAATTTGTCGACTTGTCTTGGGTCGTAAACATGGCAAATATGATCCATGCGATTCCTCGCTGCGTGCGTGTGCTGCAACTCAATTTCTTTCGATTGAACGAAATCTTAATTACGTGTCAGCAATGAAACGAGAGCATTACACAGTCCTGAAATTGTTGAAAAATTGTGTTTCATTAATATTAATGATGGCAGTATGTAGTTATGACAACGTTTCTAGTGCGTTTGCAGCTAAGAAAATACTTACGCATGAATTTCAACATTCATATTGTATATCCGATTAGAATTTCGATCAATAAAGATTTGAAAGAGGAGAAAATTCATGTAAAAAGCAAGTGCAGATGATTGAGATTTTTAAGAATTTTAAGTTTACGACTAATGATTCTCTTATTTAAATAAAGATTTGTTTATAGTTATACTAATTTAGTTGCGTATATATATATGAAGGTTTGTTGCAATTTCTGGCAAATCCAACACACATTTTTGAATCCTGAAACTCTCTTAAAAATTGTTTTTATCAATGCATAGATTAATCGTCTTCGTTACACGCTCTACGATTTATGTACGTACTTCATACTTACGCATTTGTTATTCCAGCAATCAAAATTAAAAGGTTTAACAAAAAGTCACCTGTCTGTCAATATGTTTTCAAACATTCAAAGTTTCATCAACTTTACAGGTAGAAATAATAAGTTGGAATGAAGGATAATCAAATATAATAAAATTGTTGTTTGTCTCTTCACATGATCTTGTTCCTTAGCATAATTTCGCAATTGCATTCATTGTTTTGTTGCATAAATATATCACAAGTTCTTATTCGATAATTTCCAGAGGTATTGAAGGTGTGTCAATAATCAGTTCTCATTCATTCGGTCGGTAAGTACATAATACTTTATTCTCTTCAATATAATAGTTTGTATTGTATATTAGCAGCATAATTTATAAATAATTATATTCACGTAAATTAAGAATGCGCGTTCCGGCTGTCGAACGTAAAAATATACAGGTTCATCAGTTCTATATCAAAAATTTGCTCCAATCATGAAAACTTATTCCTAAAAACTAATTCAATTACTTTTGCCACTTTGTTTTTTTAAATAAAATATCTCTGCGCATGCCGTCGATTGTTAGAACTTATCAGAGAGTGTAAATTCGCTCATCATTTCAGATAGATAGATATCTCGAGACGATTAATTATGCGTTTTTTAAAAATTAATTTGTGAAGGACACAAAGTCAGATAGATGAGATTATTGTTTGTTTAGTGTTAGATGGCATTTTTAGCTTCCAATGCATTGCGTTGTTCGTTCAATGTCTGTGTGTTCTGATACGGCTCTGAACGTATGATTCAATATGCTTAAGAAACAAAGAAAACACAATTGTATTAAATATACACAACATATATACACTTGGTTATCAGTTTAATATGTTTCATCTACGGAACGGTACTTCTTTTTTTTATCAAAAATAAAAGACACGTTTTCTTCCAAAAGAAATTCAAGGCAACAAACAAAAGAAATCGGTGGCGATTGGTGCAATAATCAATATGTCATCATTATGTTTTTTAAACTTAGATTCTCGTAATGAGTTGATTACTAACGAAAAACAGGCTGTAATCGTGCTTAGTATGATAGGTTTGTTACAACGTCATTAAAATAACACTATGTATCGACAGATCTTAGTGTTTGTGAATCATTATTAACAAAATCTCTTCTCCCTTGCGTTTGTATTGAATTCATATTCAACTTCAATATACTCGGCGTTGCGCGCCTCACGACTGCAACGTCTAAATAAGAAACTTGTATTATATGATCTCTTTAAACTAGTGAACACTTGACTGCTCTAGAGTAATAAGAATTACGTCAAAGAAATAAAAATAAATCTTAACGCGTCAGCGACATAGGTAAGAACTCTGCGGCAAGGACTTAAAAGTTACCACTTACCATAGTCCTGTTTGCCATATCCGCCGCCGCCGCTTTGTGGTTGACTGTAGTTGTTTGCGTCTATTGATGATTAAATATAAATGCAATTCATTAGAATCTGTTTCTTTTTTAAAGGAATGAAATTGTTTATTACCATAACCGGATCCATAACCGCCGCCTCCCCTGTTGTCGTAGCCACCTTGGTTGTTGTAGCCCCCTTGATAACCGCCATCGTTCTGCGCCGGAACATTACCATACCCGCTCGACTGGTATTGCTCTTCAGGCGCGCCGTAACCGGCATTATTACCCTGACCATAACCAGTGTTTTGGTAGCTGGTGTCATAGCTGTTTGGCTGTGCACCATAACCACCACCGCCACCAGCGCCGTAGTTGCTTTGTGGTGGTTGGTTGTTACCGTAGGATTGGTTTTGCTGGTAGGTAGGTGGGTTGTACGGTTGACTCTGACCACCGTAGCCACCGCCACCACCACCTTGGTTATTGGCGGGTCCACCACCAGAGTTACCTCCGTATTGTGGGCGCTGGCTGTATGAATTGGAATACGAATTGCTTTGAACAAGGTAAGCATCTGTTGGTGATAAAATAAAGACTTACTTCTGGCTGTAACCGTTGGAAGAACCGTTCTCGAAGCGACCGCGTTTAGGGCCAGGGCCTTGCATTGGTGGCTGGCCGCGTTTCTGCACCCCTAAACCACCCATACCTCTGCCACCCCGTGGAGTGAATGGACGATTGCCGCCGCCGCGTGGCATACGATCACCGCCACCCATGCGATTGCTGCGGTCACCACCGGGGCCACCGCGACCACGGGGCATTCCCCTCCCGCGGAAACCACCCGGACCACCACGGCCTGAACCGCGGTAGCCACCTCCTGGAGGTCCACGCATGCCACCGTTATCTCCCATCATATTATCGCCCATATCTAGAGGTGGAGGTACGCCACCGGGGTTAAAGCGACCTCGCGGTGCTCCGCGTGGTCCACCACGCATTCCACCGCGACCACGCATCATTGGACCCCCTCGTGGACCACCCAGTCCCCCACTTAATAACATTATCAAGTTGAAAACAATGTTTTGGGTTTAAATAAAGATTGATTTCTTACCGTCCTCGCATGAAGCCACCACCAGCGCCACGGTTGCCTCGTGGTCCTCCTCGACCCCTGAAGCCAGAAGAGCCGTTTGTTGGACCTTGTGAAGGACGGCTTTGCGGCGCCGATGAATTATTCTGCTGTGGACCGGTGGTCTGCACCGTGGTGGTATTTTCCGACATCGTTCTGAATGTTTACAAATCTGTATTATTATCGTGAATACTCAGAGTGGAAAGAAGCAAAACAAACTTTGCTATTTCATAATGCGTTGCGTTAATAGCCAAACGTGACAATGGCGCCCAAATGCCGCAAAACACCGACGCTAGGTTATTGACGTCCGTTATTTTGCGCACGAAAACAGCCAGAAAATCAGCGCAATTCTTCTAGCGATATCATGCAAATGTTTGACTTACCTCGGTTTTATGTTTTGCTTTCACTACACACAATTAACAGGGTTTTGCACAGTATTTTCCAACCACACGGCGAAGAAGAAACACCACAAACAAGGGGAAGCGTCAAAATGGCCTTTCGTTATGGCGTTACTCGACTGTAGCACTTGGGAAACTCGCTGTGCGCATGAGTGTTTGACGGCACAAACCGAACCTCCACGACGCAGATATAGTTCTGAACGACGCCACATAAAAATTAAACTTAGTAAATAAGTATAAAAATAACATTCAGACACAAATAAATTAATATAAATTAAAGAAAATTATAGAAACGATCTAGTTTTATAGTTTATACTGATATGTAATGTGAAATATGTCCATTTATATCCATTTATAAAGTGGAAATTTAAATCCGTCACTAGTGTAGCAGTGGCGCTGCGAGAGCCACCTGGTATACCGTACAGCGAACCGTATTCCTTTTCGTACAAGAAACACATCCGGTAGGTACGGCGCTCTCAAAATTTTACAAAATATAGCTTGGAATTAAAGAAAATTACAAAAATATCCACGAAAACAAGAACTAAAATAGTTTCCACATCAAGTGCTGCAATTAAATCCCTCAAGACATTAGTGCGCTGTGTGATGATTGCCGATATAAAAGTTGTTGTGATAAAAAGGTTATGTGCTAACGTGTGCTGTCATTTGTTTTAGCGATGGCTGATACGAAACCCAAAGCGGAGAAGAAGACGAAAGCCGCAGCGGCTGCACCAGCTGCCGCCGGTGACAAAACCGGTGTGAAGAAGCGCCCATTCAAGCGGCACGGACGTCTTTACGCTAAAGCCATCTTCACGGGTTACAAGCGTGGTCTGCGCAACCAACATGAAAACACTGCCTTGCTGAAGATTGAAGGCACAGCAAACAAACAAGACAGCTGGTTCTACGTTGGCAAGCGCTGTGTCTATGTATACAAGGCCAAGAACAAGACCTGTGTGCCCGGAAAACCCAAATCTGTGAAATCCAAAGTGCGCGCGATTTGGGGCAAAGTCACCAGGCCACATGGTGTTAGTGGCAATGTTAGAGCCAAGTTCAAGAAGAACCTTCCTGCTAAGGCTATGGGACATCGTATTCGCATTGTAAGTGTACAAATTGCTTGAAAACTGCTCAATTTTCTAAATATTACAATGATGTTTTTGACATTTGAAACCTGAATTATCTAATGTGTGGATAGAATTTTACTGAGATCATTCGTTTTATTCACGAATTATTAGTTTATTTTGTGTGTGCAAGACTATAATTTGTGTTTTGTTTGTTCCAGATGTTGTACCCTTCAAGGATTTAAACTAAGTAACTTTTTATGATTGTAATTATAAAAATATAAGAAAAATCATTAAAAAGAGTATTTGTTTCCTTGAAATCAAGTGCATTTACAACCTGTTAACATCCAGATATTAAATAAAATTTATCATTTCTAGTATTAGTATTTAATCGTGGTTAAACAGATGGTTTTCTAAGATATTGAAGAAATGTACAAATTGCCGCAGTAGTAAATGGTGTATATTGGGTTGCCTACCTTAGAACATCACAATGTTTAAATTCTTATTACAACATTAAATAAAATAGAGAAGTCGTGAAAAGATAATAGTATTAACTACCGTACAAGCATAAAACTTTAATTCACCATCAAATTTAGAGTTTTCTGTTCAAAACTGAAAATATTGACTGCAAATTTTCGATTCAAAAGCAAAATTGTTCAAAAATTTAATGTTTTTCAACATATTTCCTCTTAAATAAATAAATTCAAACATAAAACCTTGAAAACGATCAATTTGCTAAAGAATTAAACAATAAATCATAGTTTAATCTTCAGTTATCGCAAATTTCCGAATTTAAAAGTTTTTACAAATGGCGACAACTTTCTAGTGTCATTCCTGGTACCTTTACACTTGTATCCGAAATTTCTCGCACCGCATGAATGAATAATGCATACAAGAATACCCACCTGTACAGTGCAGACCTCTACCTGCCGTTCTTCGGACGGTGCGCAAGCGGCGCTCATTCTTCGTTTCTGTCTAACATAGGAGGGATTGGTATGACTGCGCTTGGGTGTCGCTTACCGCCGAGCGCCGTTCACTTGTCCGCCGCGTTCTTCGCCTGCGTGCGTCGCCGTTTCTTCGCGCTTCCGATGACCGACGTATGACCGAATTATTATCAACCCACCAAACGAACTCAACTCAATCAACAAACCCAAACGTGTGAAAAGTGTGAGTGTTTACAAGTGCATTGATAAACCATAACGCTGCCTGACTTGAGTGAAACAAGTGAAGAAAAACGGTTGAAATTGTGTTGTGGGTACCGGATATACTTCAGATAGGGACGGCTAGCTGCAACAAAGGATATCGAGGTTAGTACAAGCGACAACAACAATTCCTAATTAGTAACGCGTTGAGTTTACCACACTCAAGAGGTGATGATAACGTTTCGATGACGCATAAGCTTGCTCTGCACTAATATAGTCAGCGCAGTCGCTATAGTAAAGCGACTTACTTGTAAGTCAACGTGAAAGAGAATGTCGCATGCTCTCTTGTCGGTCATACCTGGTCAAAGTGAACTCAACTCTTAACTCGATATTTAACTCGATATAACAAAAAACAAAACATCATCTTCGAATTGAGTGTATATAAAGTTGCATACCTTTAACGACGCACGCATTACAACATCCACACACGAATCGAGAAACAAAACCAGTTCAACTGGATTTTCGGCTGGAATTTGGTGAGATTAAGTCATATGCGCTTAAATCTAGCAATAAAACAAAATATTCAGGTTGATTCACCACACCACACACACGAACATCGATGTTTTGTGTTTTTTTACTTGTTTGATTGTCGTCGTGGGTGTCACCATGGTAACCACACGGTTGCCCTGGTAACAAACAAAACAACTCGAAACACGATGCAGTCGAGCATGAACGAAGAAACCACACAGTGCAAAAAGTCCGTTTCATTGAAGCATTTCCATAACCGATTATGCGCAGTAGAAATTAGGACAATAAATTCCGATCGCCGAAGGGCATTCACAGCGTTGCTATGGAATATAAAATTAAAACGCAGAGTGCAATGAAGAAAGCGTTCGACGGCGTCGTGTGAGGTTGGAATTCAGGCCTCCGGTGATTAAAACATGGACGATACACGCGCGCCATCTGCATATTTTCAGGTTAAGTATGAACAAGATTTTCGCACGCCTTCATTACAAATGCATTCAATTCACTTGCGCGTAACTAAGTCATTGGACTAAAATAATAATTAAATCCGTGTAAGCAGTTGACCCCATGTTCCGTAAACGGATTTCCGTTCGTATTCGCGTTGTAATAATGGTCGTTTATATGCGGCGCATGCGCGTCCATTGTGCATCATTGATGCTTGTTTCTCAATGATGAAGAAGCTGCAAGAATGTTGAACTCCACTTTAATTCATTACGTAGTCATGTTATGTATGTAGGCTCAGCGCGTACAACATCGACGGATATTTGTATTACTCATGCAGTCGTAAATAAGACACAAGTGGAGAAATTAATCCTTGTATGTGACTAGTTTTCACTGCAGTGGGAGCTAAAGTGTAAAAACTTGTCGGCGGCTTGATATACTGTCGGCGAAGACGAAACTGTGACAAATAACGGTGCAAGTTTTATTATTTATTGATTAGTTTCTCACAGGTGATGTGTTTGTTTCTGGGTTTTATTAGAAGTAGTGTGAGAAGATGTTTGCAATCACTTTTGGGTTCAATTTTGTGAAAAAAAGGTTTTTGGAAGTTTAATACCGTTTTTTTGTATACCGGTATTTTTAGGTATACCGGTATTTTTGTGAAAATAAGGTGAATAAGGTGAAAATAAGGTGAAATAAAAGTCAAATACCGGTATTCTGCAATACCGGTATTTCGGTATACCGGTATTTTTAGGTATATCGGTATTTTTGTGAAAATAAGGTGAATAAGGTGAAAATAAGGTGAAATAAGGTTAAGTCAAATACCGGTATTCTGCAATACCGGTATTTCGGTATACCGGTATTTTATATCAAATACCTAATCAACTGTTTTTTTTTATTTTTTATTTTTTTTTGTAAAATACCGGTTTTTTTAAATAAAAATACCGGTAATATCTACTGCGCAGAAGCAACACACTTAAGTTAAATTTACTTACTCTTTACACCTACTTAACAATTTGCTATTTTTAGTTTGTTTTTGTAATTCCACGTATAATTTAATAGTTTTTAATTGCTGACTACAAAGTTGACGCAATAAAAATTATTTTCATTAACAAATTATGCAAAACATAAAAACACGTGAGCTCATCCAATCAAAGTTTCTTTTCCGTCAGCTTCTGTAACTTAGAAACACTTTCTGCTGACTTAAACTTAAACTAAACTTTACTTCTAATAAGCATGCGGTGCGACGTTGATAAATGCTCGCATTCGTGCAGCGTGCAAGAATAAAGCATAATTGAATATCGGACGAAATTATAATCCACGTCACTCACCTGCGTGGTGCATAATAGCGACACCTAACCTCCACGCCGGAGTCATGCTGGTTGCAGGCTGACCGACAGTTGGCTGCAATGGAAAGCGATGGCGATGAATGGCGCATTGAAACACTTGGCAAATTTCTTCCTAATAACACTTAAACGTTCGCCGGGCCGCTATTACTCGTAGAGTATATTCGGAAAAATTTACATTCCTGGTTTGTTACGCTCTTCAATACATGAAAAAAGGTGTTTACAAGACTTCCGGCTAAGAATAAATGAAAATGAAACATATATTCAAGAAAAATTGAATTTTAATCATCGTCTAAATCCAGTCGGACAAGTTTTACGTTTTATTTTGCAAACTCGATAATTTATGATTGCTATGTTTAGAAATAAAAAATACACCTCTGAATTCTAACGGACACATATGAATTTTTAAGTTTTGATAAGTTGAATGTTGTGTAACATTAATTGTGTGTAATGCGATATCCAGACAATTTTACCGCGTAAAAAGTACGAATTAGTAGGTTTTGATAGATTGCTACATATTTTTCGACGCGGCATGAATTTCAAAACGCAAAACGTGCGGTAGTTTTGATAAATTATCGACGATTGTGTACGCAATGTCTACGTACGTGTAAAATACGTGTAAATCATCATGTCGTGTCTAATTGACACTAACTTGTATTTTTTTTAGTTTTTACTTCGTCAAAAACTATTTTTTCCGTTTTTGTATAAAAAGTTCGCATTTTTAGACTGTATGTTCGGTTTTTAATAACGTCAAGTCAAATCATTGGACAATTTTTAATATAGGCAACCCATTATACATGAAACACTCCAATAAAAATTTAATAGTCTAGAACAAACCTGAATTTCAATAAATATTTCAATAAAAAGCTAATTTGAAATTACAATTGAGAAAAAATTGTTATGTTCGTAATTAAACGTCGTACTATTGCGACGTTATATCAACAAACGATTAATAGTAAATGTTTGCGTTTTATATGCATTAATTAACTCATTCTGATGATGTGATGACATTTTTTGCCACCCGACTAGCCAAAAACCACAATTTTAATTACCTACATATTTATTTCTAATGTGTTAGAGTAATTATTGTCATCTTTTTACGAAAGTTTCGGTTACGTCTCGTCTCTTTTAATTTACGACGCGTTTTTCTGCGCAGGTTCGCAAGAAATGTTTACATCCGCACGCGGTGTTACATTATGTAACAAAATGTGTTCTGTTTTTTAGTGTTAAGATATTAATGTTAATAATTATAAACGTTTAAGTTGTAAAGAAAATTATATTTTGTGTATCATGGGTTGCCTATAGTAAAAATTGACCTATGCTTTGACTTGACGTTATCAAAAAACGAACATACATCTAAAAATGTATTTTTTGATAAAAAAAAATTTAAACTTGTTGCAGACATTAAATAATAATAAAAAAAAATAGCACAGACGTAAAAAAAACTCAGTGTAACGAGCAACGGAAGTAGAAGTTACGAAACAATTTCTTCCATTCTTTCGACGCCATTCTTGGTTCCATTGACAAATGCAAAGATAGCTAAATAATAATAAAGCAATTACACGCAAAAGGAAAGTCTTGTACTTATATAAAAAACATTTGTGTATAAAGCTGCATCTAACGTGGTTTCTTTTGTTTTGTAGTATTTTAATGCTAATGCTAACGCGAAAAGGGAAGTTGTCATCCTGTATGTTGTAATATACTTTAAATGCTTACATCCGGCGCTGCGTTACCTCAAAATCCCCAACGCAACAATTTTTCAAAAATTTAATTCAATTGATTAACCGTTTTGTTTGGCAAATGTTGATCTGTCGAAATTCGTAGCTAATAAAATCAGTAGACGATCAAA